CCCGTCAAGCCACCAGATTTCCTCATTTCCCGTCCCTCACAATGAGGTACCTTGAGTATTAGAACCTCATCCCCTCTTCCTCCCTCCTTATTCGACATTACAATTGATACGGGAAACAACCACATTCCCCCTTGAAAGATGCAACGGCTTCCCTATAGTGAAATAATCCGCATTGTTATAAGGCGTGGTGCCGTCGGGCATGTAAGCGATGCACATGTTGGTCGTGGCGATCTGGTACAGGGTCGATACCTGGCTCAACACCTCGGGATCCGCGTAGTCGTCGTCTTCGATGTATACTTCCACCGTTGTGTTCTCGTACCTGCCGCACCCGACGGCGCGCTCGACGACTACGATGGCCGGTGGGAAGGTGAATTGTGCGAGGACGGGCGTTAGGGCCGAAAGGAGAAGGAAGGTGGGGAGCATGGTTTCCGTTTTTTCGGGTTTTGAGTTTTGAATGGGTGTTGTTATGTGTTTGATGTTGATATAGATGATCTTGAATGGATGGTGTAGGAGTTGACCTTTCCCGTTTTTATTATTGCATCTTTACATTTACGGCCTATTTACGGGTATTGCAGAGATATATATAGGTCGAAACCAGGTGTTTATTCTGTTCAAAATAGACTTGCATAACCGAGAAAGTAAGCAGTAGTAGTATAGTGTGTATTATTAGACATTAGGTATCCCTTGGCCGCTTTTTCAAAGAGATCCAGACGCGACTAGTTCCCATGACGAAAAACATAACCCGACTTGGCGCCTATAGCAATACGAAGTATTTTGCAGGCTACTAAAATGGATGTTGAAGCTCGAACCAATAGGAGGGGGGGCCAGTGTTGAAGGCTGAGCTCAGCAACTCAGAAGAAGACCGCATGGGAGTGTAACCAGTTCGGCGCCTATAGCAATACGAGTAGGTATTTTGCAGGCTACTAAATGGATGTTGAAGCTCGAACCAATAGGAGGGGGGCCAGTGATGAAGGCTGAGCTCAGCAAGGCAGATGAAGACCTCATGGGAGTGTAACCAGTTCGGCGCTTACATATCAATTGCCCGCGTTCTTCCGGTCCCTGACCGGAGTTCGGTATTTAAGAGTGCCGCGTTGACGGGCTTTGTCCTCTCTGCCTCGGGACATTATACAACGCATAGACACTAAAACGACCAACGCGGAGGATATGTATCTCTCGTTAACTCGAGCATAGGCTTGTCGTGCAGGTTCTAATGTCCCTGCACCCGCAGGTAAGGTACGGTACATCGTACCTGCTACTACAATTTTGGTGGGAGGGATTAAGGTACCTACCTACCTACATGTATTTACTGTCTCTTAGGTGTCGGCAACCGCCTGCCACTGCAGTATAGCAAACGTAGCACAGAGCAGATCTAGCACAGCCCTTGATATAAAAAGATTTTGCAACAGGGAAAAATAAAGGCTCTTTACGCGTACATTGAAACACAACTATATAATTTACTGTTTATTTTACTAGGTTCTAACAATTTCTATCGTGAACTCGAGCATCTCACTTTACTGGCCCATCCTCTTTCTATAGGCTTAAAACTTGGAGACCTAGCATCATATCTCCTGCGGGCAACAAAACACAGCCTGCCGCCCACTCGGGACCTCAATGGTGGCCTTTATAGCACATGTAAAGAACAGGCATGAGGTCTAATTAGGACGCTTACCCCTTAATAATACTGTTTAATCAATCTCTCAACAAATTAACTATCCATCTTATACATGCTATGGCTCGGTGAGTCGGATAGGCCGTATTTTGGTAGGGTAGGACCGTAGGAGTCCCCACGGTAGATGGCGGCCAGTCCAGGCATCGAGCGGATTGGTGGCCAACCGCAATATTCACATAATTTATACGCGTACATATCGTTATCTACCCCAAACTTCAAAGTGAAGCGTAGTATTAGATCGACCTAGACGATAGGGTCCGTGATAAAATTCGGAGTTTAGACGCTTCATTGGCTACTGGCCGTGATCTGCTTTACACTGCAAAACGAGGCTGGTGGCAGTCACTTAACGGACAACCCTGCTTAACGGACAACCATGCTTCGTATCTCCTCTCCTTTTTTAGTATCTGTAGGATAGGTACCTCTCAAGGTGGAAAATTAATAGAGGGGACCGGATCTACAGCACCATTCTCCTGAATCCTACCCCCAAACCTCCTTGAACACGTTAGGACGTATTCTGCATTGTGAATATTATAACCGGCCCCCGGTTGACGCCGCCTCTCGCATACTTGAGTGTTTAGTCCGTATGGTAAAATCGGGCGATCGGCCGGACGATGAGAGCGGTTTGAGGAGCAATTCAGATAACACAGCATGTTTACCAGGTATCTGAGGTAACCTAAGGATGAATATCACAGTTGTCCACGTGGGCAACGTACGAGTAACAGGGTGTAAATGGTGACAGCGCAAGTGCACGGCAACTGGACCCAAAGTGCTCCCAACAATACGACCTTGGCCTGTCATTACCCCTGAAGTGAACTTCAGCTCGACATAAAGTAGGTGGCCGACTCCTGTTGATGGCAGGCTCAAGGTTGCTATGGAAATGTTTAAGGGGTCAGGGTTGTATTTCACCATGTATGTGGACATCTTCCCTCTATTTCCCTCTATTATGGATGGGCGCCCTCATATATAAGGGTAGCGTTGTTCAACACAAATCCTCGGCCTCCTGATCGCCTTCACCGCCTTCTTTATTGCCTTCGTGGCAAGCCGATGTTGGAGGATAGTCTGCTTCGGTTTTCACCGGTTCTATTCTACGTCTCGTCCACAAGGCACAATACACCACTAAAGACTGGTTAATCTTCGCAACTCCACATCGCCAGACAGTGGGCTGTACATGCTCTTCTTACTCTTCTGTGCAAATCGCCATCTTTCCAAAGAAAGGCTCCAACCCCTTCCCACTGCGATTGCTGCCGTCTTGGTGATTGAGCTATTCACTCTTGCTGGAGGATTCTCCTCTCGCATCTCCACTGCCATTGGCAACGAAGTATTAATCAAAAGTGCTAATTGCGGCGTGTTTGTTCAACGTGTCTTCGCAACAAACGCTTTGAATAGGTCTCACCATCTTTCTACCCAGGTCTCAGTGCGGGCTAATATGATCGACAATGCTGCCAACTACCTACGCACCACAATGCTACTCGAGCCAAGATACTCGGGCTTCTTAGATTGTGGCCGTTTTGTCAGCAGGAAGCTAATCACGGAAGCTTCAAGTGAGAATAAGAAGGCAGCATGTCCTTTTGATCGAAATATGTGCCGGGCAGATTCGGAGAATATATACCTAGACACAGCCTATATCGATAGCCATAATCAGATGCTCCAAGTATTACCGCATATGTTAACACCTGCGATGTAGACCGGTCGAATACTATGTTCAGAACGGAATTTCTGATGGGAATATAACCGGTTCATCGTTCATGCCGCTAAACAATCTATGGCGAAGTGACGCGGACATGATCATGATCCTTCTCTCAGGAAATGGTGTGTTGCATACCTAACTAACAGATGACAAATGCTATCGGACAGCCGACGCTACTTCAGCCGTCGAATTTCTTCAAGTACGCCTACTTTCGGATAGGTTAAATTTTCTGTATATCCTCGGGGAACCAGCATCCCCTCCTTGGTTGTAGGAACTAGTACTAATTTGCAATAATGTACTCCCAAGGGCATTAGGTTGTGGTGAGCTTGCTAGTTTGGCGGATTCTGTTAGCACAGCGGCTCTATTGTTCAATAGCACTTACAACGACTATCTCACATTGTCTACTCAGACGGAATTAGCAGCGTGTTTTGTCTATTCTCCAACGTTTTTAGCCAACGCCATATCAACGTAGCCGGTATCGTACTGCACATGGGACCTTCAAGCCTTCTCTCAAAAAAACACTGCACAAGGGGATTCATGGTCCTCTCGAACCGAACCAATGGCAACTCGATACGACGCATTGGTCGTATATAACGATGGCTGCGTTTCAGGCAGGGTTCCTCGACACGGCATATAATCCTCCCAGTTTGGCATCTGCTGATGGCTTCTTCAACTTTACCACCCTGGAACTACAAAAGATATGCCGAAACCAGGTAAATACGTCACCTGCCCTGACCGATCCTCGTAGGACTCGTTTCAAGCACCGCTTTGCGCCCTAGTAACTAAAGCCAGTCAAAAATGCGGAAAATACTCAGTATAACCCACGCATCTTTCAGCCTATTCTGGCTCCTCTTCACTCTATTAGTCGGGCTGCTCACAGCCCTGGCCTCTTATCTCTTGGAGCCCATATCTGACTTCCTGCACAAAGAAAAGGGGTACAAGCAATACCAGCATCTCGAGTGGATCACAAACGCGACACTGCAACTGCAGCGCCTGGGGCATGAGGCAAAGGGACTGGGGACGTGGTCGAAGTGTACTGAGTCTATCCCGACTACCGAGCCCGACGAGCTGCTGGGCTGCTTAGAGATTACGGACCCTGGTCATCCCGTACTTTATCCTCCGTCTAAAGAGGCGGATCCAGCAAGCCCAGCCCATGAATCACTGGTGCCTCTAGAAGTTGTTGCTAGCGATGAGCTGTCGTCTACACAAGGATCCTCAGGATCAATGCTAACGTCCTTGTTCAATGATGGAACACCATCCACGCACCAGGAACGCCGGTCCCAACCATAGTCACCCCCAGCAGGCCCCCAGTCCCATAGACGTTGAAGCTAGGTCATCATATACACATTTGCAGCACAATTCAGGGCAGCCTTAATCTCATAGATATTACAGCAGTAGGTCAGGTATTTTAAAGGAGGCCATGTAGGCGGGGCCAGTTTGATGAAGAAGAGCCTTTTGACGGCAAAGATGCATTTATGGTTGATACATGTATCTATTATAAAGTATAAAGAACCCTACACTTGTTACAATACCTACTTGTATGCACAGTAACTCAACTTACCAAAATAAACGATACCGGCAACAAGACAGCATGAAACATACCTATATGATATACCCCGAACAATTCGCCAAAAGAAAACCAAGTCTTGATTGGTCTAGTGGTCAGGATACCTGCTTGTCATGAAATACATTGTCAGTGATTAGTAAGCTCGCAGGTGGCCGGGGTTCGATTCCCCGATCGAGAGAATACGTCTTCTTTTTTTTTCAGTCTCTTTTTCCTTCTTTTTGTAGATGGTAACACCCGTTTTGGCTTCTTTTTCTCCCTCTTCCCTACGCAATTACTCACTCGGCTATTTTCCATTTTCTTTTCAAGATCCCTTGGTCAGCAGAACACACCTGCGCCGCTCCGGTCAATATCTAATTTGTGTGGTCATGCTTGGATTCTTCCCCCAGATATTACAGTGAGCTGATTTCACGACGCCTAAAAGGGGGTCCCGAGTCATATCGTCTGAGGCCGTAACTACCTTATTAGTGATGCTGAGGCTGTGGCACGGAAGAGTTGGCGTGGAAAGTGCTCTGACCACCGTGGGAGTGACTACGCCGTATAGTATTGCCCGTGGGAAGTCCCGTTACATTAGGATTTCTCTCGAACAACTCGGACCGCCCAAGTTAGCCCGTTCTTCTAGTGAATGCAGCGCTTATAACTGTTCAATCAAAGATGAATAGAAGTCAATTCCACCTAAACCCATGATCGTACCTGCCGTATCCACATCCCCCAGAAGGGGGGGGCACATATCTATCTTAGATATATTATGTACTTGCTTGCTACGAATTTTGAGGCCTAGAATCAAAACAAGATAATCATTTAACAATAGAGTTGCACCGGCCTTGTCGTCGCTACCTAGCTTGGCAATTCATCATGATAGGACAAAACGCCACCATTATCCCTCCCTTTGGTAGTCAAGCACTGTCTGAGGCGTGACACACATTGTTCATTATGTAGAAACACATTGTTGACAAATAAGATGTATCAAATACGAGCTATCCATCAGGCGGTACAGCACTGCCATGGTTTTCGCTATCTGCCTTTGCTTGCTATGTACGCCGCCCATGTGCAGCGAAAGGCCTTCCGCGTGAACTCCTTGGACTATGCCCTCTCAGCTAAACCCATAGGAGATCCGATCTCCAAGACGAAAAAAATCGTGATGCGCCCGGCCAGAAGTCTTACGGTGCGGGGTCCAGCCTGCAGGAGGCAGTGTCATATGCTTCCCTACGGGGTTGAAATCCCGACCCTGGGACTGCTCCACCCGAGCCTCGGTGGCATCCGCAACTTTAGCCCTCCACGCCGGACTGAGCTTCCGGTTGTAAAAGTCCCAGAGACGAGGGAGAAAATGTACGTCTTGGATACAATAGGCTCTGATCTTGTCGGGAAGTGGTCTCTGGTTGAATACCTCGTATGACCCGCCTTTCTCTGGAGCGAATAGCTTCACACCGTCGTCCTTCACTGTCATCCAATCACGCCTCTCCTTTTCCGTCATTGGCAAGTCCATGTCAATACATTTCTTCAGTCCGCTGATGAAGCTTTTGCGAGTTTGGCGGGTTGCGAACTCCATTAACTGGAGGTCCTGGATGCCCTGGAGCCGGATGTTGTAATGGCTAAACAGGGCATCAGAGTCACAGCGAACATCGAAGAAGACTTTGGGAATGGTGCGTGATTCCAAGATGGACTTCAATGTGACCGTCGTGGCGGAGTGCATTCCAGGCGTCAAAAACGCCTCGTGCCCGAGTGTCTTTATATCGACTAGATAGTTCTGTGATGTAGTGCGGACATGGATTTGGAGGATTGAGAGTGTTCCGTGACGGGATAAGTTGACTCCCTCAAGGTCGATATAGAGGGATGGCGGCGAGCAAGGAAGATTGTAGATCTCGTCTACCATTAAAGCAATACCAGGGGTTGTGTCGATGAGGCCACTGTTGCCGTTGAATAATACTGGGGCCCCGCATGAATCCATGATTGATGATTTTGTATGTCTAGATTATCCTTTGATAGTGTGCCCTTTAGAAGGTAGGTAGCGAAGAAGGTGCCTTAGTCGAACGAGTATATTGGGGAAATGTGAGCAAGCTGGTCGAATATATAGCCTGGTTTAATACTCGAAGCTCAAACGGGGGACTCGGAGGTTCACTCCAATAGTTCTCCGCCTCTTACGAAATACTTACTCTGCTGTATCCCATACAATATTCTAGATATTTAGTGATTCAATAGTTTGTTTGACAAACAAACGCAGCTTGGCAAAAGCACATTACTCGTACTACAGTGGCTGGCTAGGGTCATAGTCCATCTCCATGCACATGCCCTTGATCAAACGAGTGCCGAGTGAGCTGGCAATGTATGGCAACTTACTGACGGACAGCAGCAGATTACCCTTCCACAGCCCGTCCAGGCACCCTTGGATCAACGTAAGCCATATGACCGGTAGGACCCTAGGTATAGAGCGCCATATCTCAAGTGACAGACGTAAGAAGCAAACCTCGTATCTACACCTCCTTTAATGCACCAACCCTAATGGAAGATATACCTACATGCCGACGTCAGAGTACACGAACAAACGGGTGCCATCGAACACATTTGGTAAGGAGCATGCCTTGGGGAACTCGATCACTGCAGACTTCGTTTGCACATTTTCGAGGCCGCATATCTTGGTACTTACCTAGTCAATACAAGTGACCTCATAGTTCAGCGGCGTTGTCCAGTTGCCTATTGTCCCAGTTTGCGATAAGTGGATTGATGATCTGATCTGGCTTCCCAGTTCCAAAAAAGCACCGCACCTCAGCACTTTGGGTAAACAGAGCGGGATGTACTACACGTAAGCAATAAGGGCAACCACAGCAACCGGGAAGATCATTACAAAATAGTCTTTCCTCTCTAGGCTTTATGTCCGCAAATTTGATATGAGGGAGAAAGACTTGGATTTCAGCAGACTTTGCCGGCCCATCCAACCAAAACTGGACAATACAACCATGATATTATTGTCTTATACCGGGCAGTTTTATCTCAACAGCCAGGTCAATTCAATGCCACGAGACCTTCTTACGTCTAGTTATCAACTGGTGGTCGACGGAAAGGCAAGGCACGCGTGAAACGAGGCGTCTCACCAAGGTTGGCAGTATCAAACAGGCATTTGGTGCCCGATGAGGTTTTTTCTATCGGGGGGTTACGTACATCGTTTTGAGCGAATATATTGTGGCCGAATGTTTTCACACGACGTCGGCGAGATTTGACCCGAGTATTGCCCGCTTGCCCTTCCCTTGTTTCGATACTAGAATCTTCCTTAATTTAGGGGCAAGGAAGACTCCTTTTTCTAATATTGCGAGTACAAGTGAACTAGATATAACAGGAACAAAGAAAAAGCTGCTTACCCTACGTAAACAAATCGTTTCTACCTTACTTAAACTCGCCACGAAAAAAGTCAAAAGCCGTCCCTACCGACATGTAGTCAGTCAGTCAGTCAGTCACTCACTATCTCCGATCCAATAAGTCTGCCCAGCATCCATCACAGCCCACAACTCCCTAGCGGACAATCCCATGCAAAGCTTCGGATATAATTCGGAGAGCAGAGCATCCATAGCCACTCGAAAGAAACCAGGATACGTATCATCCGACCATATAGGTCAGCTAGGGTAACTAAAAGCTCGGCGGGGGTTAAAAGGCGCGCTAGTCCTACTAGCGCAAAAGCTTAGCTAGGGTTTAATTGAAAAAAATTTAACCTTAGTTAAGCTTTAATAGGAAAGGTGCAAACTTATATGTTAAAAGCTAGTATATATAAAAGTATATATATTTTTTAAGCAGTATATAAAAGAGTTTTTATAAAAATAGCAAGTTTGCATATGCTACGCATATGCAAACAACCTAAATATAAGTATAAATGTTAATTTATTATAAATATATATAATTAATATATAAAACTTATAATAATATAAGTTACTTTATAATTATAATATTTTTAGTTTATATATAAAGTTAAAATATATATTTATATATATATTAGGTTAAATAGTAAGTAACTATTAGGTTTATATATGCAAGGCAAAATATTAGGGTTAGCATATATAGGGCATACGCTTAAACTAGTAAAATTTACTTATATAAAAAAATTTTTTCCTATATACCTTTTAAATTCCTTTTTTTCTTTTATAACAACTAACGTATAATTATAAGTTTAATTTATTTTTTTTTGTTTAATTAAAATACGCTTTTAATATGTACAGCATATGCGTACATGTTATATATATGCGTATATAGCATATACTAAAGCTATATGCTATAAATATAGCAAATTTATATATATAAAAAAAAATTCTTTAGCATATGCTAACTATATATAATAAGAAAGCTGTTTTTATACTATATATACTTTATTATTTTCTTGTTTTTTATACTATATTTAATATTTGCATAATATACGCACAATATACTTTTAGCATTTATACAGCATTTATATAGCATTTGCTTAGCATACTTATTAATAAAAACAAATATATTAACTTATAAGTATTAAAAGCTTAAAACTTATTAGAGTATAAGTACTACTATAGTAAGCATATATTTTTTATATAATATATATATACGCAGCATATATTGCTAATATAATATTTATAAGCTTAATTTTTAATAATAATAAAGCATAGTTTAACTAGGTTTTAAGTATAACCTTTTTTTAACCTATACTTTGCTTTTGCTAATTATAAGTTTAGCTTATATTGCTAACTAAAGTAGCTACTAAAATAAAGCTTACTTTTTATTATATATATATTAAAGTTATATTAACTTTATTTTAGCTATTTAAATTTTAGCGCATAACATTAGTATATATTTATTATTAATATATTATTAGCATATGTTAACTATACTGCTTTGCTAAACTAAGCTCCTAACTTTTTAGTTAAGCTTTTTAAGCTATATAATTATATATAAAAAGTTTTTTTTCTATACTTAGTATATATTAACTATATAAAGTTATAATATTATTATTTAAAGCAGTATTATATATAAAGTAATTTGCACTAATAAACTAAAAATATATGCATAGCTTACTTTTTATATATACTATTATATATTAATTTATAAAGCTTTGTTAACATATTTAAAATGCACATACTAGCGCATATAAGTAATATATAGCAAAGTATACAATTTATATATGCTAACTATTTAATAAGTGCTAATTTAAACTTAGTAAATATAATT